TGTGGACCAATTTGGCTGTAGAGAGTGGTCAACATGCCCTTGCTTCACAGCAAGACTTAATTTAAATTTTATGGTGATACTTTAACCAACACCTGGGAATGGGAGAGAAAGTTCTGGCGTCATCTATTGCACAACTGGTGCAAATCTTAATCGGAGTTACATTCTTGATTATTTATTCCATCACTAAAAGTATATGATATCATTACCGTGTTTGAGCCTGTGATTCTTTCACTCCACTAATCTACTCACTGGTACACCTCTCCTTTCCCCTTTACATTGAGATCGTTTGCTTGGAACATTCACCGTAACAAAGTTCTGTCGAAATTCGATATGAAAAGGTCATGTAACATAATACATATGTTGAATCAGGGATTTTTCTCTCAAAATAAGCAAGGAACCAAGGAATCCATAACCGAAAACCGGATCCTCTTCTGTCCCCTCTTCTCCATCACCTTCGCTTGTTTCCTCTTCTGAACGTTAGAAACTGATGCCGGGCTGACCATTAAAATCCGCGCTGTGTCGTGAATTGTCCTCCCCTCTTTTTGCATATTCAGGATGGTCTGCTGTTCTTGAAGGGTCAAAGATTTTCCCCTTCTCCGACGCGTTGACACGATGTCGAAAGGAGTAAAGTGGACCCATAGGGCCATTGTTACCCCAAGTATGGGAAGTAATACCTACTACAGTGACATCTCTCTAAAAAAATTTGTGGATGTTACCCTCCCCTGAAAAGAAACTCGTTACCAAAAAAGTTATTGAAAAGAGTAATTAGTTACTGTAACGCGTTACTTTTACTTCGTTACCGCCCAACACTGCATACGAGTATCATATACCATGATGCTTGACTAACCAGAGACCGAATCATCATTTTGAGAGTGGAAGGGATCGCTGGACGAACCCCAAGGAGAGGGAACTTATTTTTTGGAGGCTTACAATACCGGTGTGTTCTTGTGCCTGCAGATAGTTGGGACGAAAGTGTTTTGGAAAAACCACGTAATTTTACGTCACGATGTTCCTCACCGAATGCTAAAATTTCCAATATCAGGGTACGTTTCACGTTCTAAGAATAATATGAAACTCGGATATCCCAGTGTGGTCCCTCTATTTCATGTACCGACGGGCGATGAAGATGAAACGCGTTAAGCCTCTTGCCCTCGTAGAAGAGAACTCGGTCGCCGAACACGATCTTCGTGAAATCGTCATCCGACCGGTCGATACCGTTTCGGTTTTCAATGCAGAAATCCGATATTGTTGGTAATCTCCCTTATGAAGCTTCACAACGTGCGAGGTTCGTACGGCTTCGAGCAGTTTTCCTTCTGGACTTCCAACCGGTTGAGAAGCGGGTGGGTCCCCGTGAGTCCCCATGAGTCTCCGTCGGTCCCCATGAGTCCCCGTGAGTCTCCGTCGGTCCCCATGAGTCTCCGTCGGTCCCCATGAGTCTCCGTCGGTCCCCATGAGTCCCCGTGATTCTCAGTCGGTCCCCGTGAGTCTCCGTCGGTCCCCATGAGTCCCCGTGAGTCTCCGTCGGTCCCCATGAGTCCCCGTGATTCTCAGTCGGTCCCCATGAGTCCCCGTGAGTCTCCGTCGGTCCCCATGAGTCTCCGTCGGTCCCCATGAGTCTCCGTCGGTCCCC